TGTTTTACAATTTTTTCAATTGTTTGATTGTTTTTCGATTTTGTTCTATTGAGTAAATTAGCGAGAATTTTGCCATTGATAGATTAAAAATTTAATCGTAGGTGAAATAGTAGGATTTTGGCGAAGTTATTAATATTATTATTATTCAATATTATTCGCGATTTACAATGCTTAAAAACTTCGGATAAAATTTGTAAAAATTTATCCGAAGTTTTTAAAATTTATCTTGGCGTAAATTTTTAATATAGGCAATGCCTGCATGCAATTAATTCTCAGAACCCAAAAAAAGCGAATGTCCAATGTAAAGTTTGATGAATTTTTCAGTCCTTACCCATACAACGATTTAAGATATATTTCGATTCTTTGGGAAAGCAGTATCCAAAGCTCGAATTTGATATGAAAATAAAGAAGGAAAGTTCATTTAGGATATCTAGCATTGTATCAGGATTATCTATATGATTTCCTGGTTCTAAAATTTTCTGAAGCATTTGCTATTTTATCGACTGAACCATCATGCACTGGTGTCTGACAAATAAAATGTTAAGAATTTGATCGGCATCGAATATTTATATTACTATTCTGACAATTGTTTTCATATGCGATCGAGTTAATGTTCAAATTTATGATTACCAAATTTCTTTTCTAAAAATGCCAATTTGAAATGCCAATCATTGATAATCTTAGTTTGTCTAAGGCTTTACCTTGTTTAAAATTAACTAAATTCCATTTGGTGTCTATTCGGCATAAAGAGTAACTGAACATTAGATATGAGTTTACACTGCTTAAAGAAAGTTTCTCGAGGGATTTAACGTTTTTTTATAAACTCGAAATCGATATATTTTTGGAGGATGTTGAAGGCATTTTTCTTCTAGAAAATTTCCCTTGATAAAATGAAAACAGATTTCGGTGGGACCAGTCAATCGCAAAATCTGTTTTAATACTTGCATTATATTCATATAAATGCCGGAATGGCCAAGTGATATGATTCCACTTAGGCCACCAAGGATTCGTCTCGTGACCCTTGCTGAAAATAAACCTTCTACCAAGAATGAAATCTGAGTGTCCATGAGAGTTTACAAAAATTTAATGGTCAGTGAAGCCAAAAATAATGAGTGAACTTTCAAAAATAGTAAACTGTGGAATTGGAAGTGGAAATACCCAGTTAATTAAATTTTCTGGAAGAAATTTATGCACTTAATTTTATGAAAATATTCTAAGATAACAAAGAATTTGCTGAAGTATTTATCGCATTAAGCAAGCTATTGAATAAAATGGCTTAAAATAGCTTTAAAAAAAAGATTTATAACTTAATCACTTATAACTCTTATCATCTGTCAAAAATCACTTATAAAAACACACTTATAAACCTGTAACTTAATCAGGCCTATTGTCTTTCAAAGTTAGCTTTTCATTAGAAAGCTTGTTTTTCACAGATTTTACTTTTTTGGTTATTTATGGTAAAAACCCTTTCTAAGATAAATTGTAAGTTCGTGCGCAGATTCTAAAAAATATTAATATTGATTAATTAATTATATTAATCATATTATAAGTGAATTAGCTAATCTATTTTATCGTTTTTAATGCCTTTTTTACATTTTTTTCATTTTGTTAAATGTAACAAAAGAAATTTGCTATAATAAATCTAATATAATAAATCTAAGATTAAATAAAGCAAAGCCAGAAATTCTCTGGAAGACGGAATAAAACAAAAACTGCGCTTATTTCACCAATCGACTCAAAATTTCAGTCCGCCAGAAGTGAGTAGATTACGCTCGCTTTTTCTGGTAAGAAAACTCTTGGGAATAGAAATACAGATAACTTGCCCGCATGCCTGGATGCTTTTTAACTACTCCTATTGGACTACTCCTATTGGAGGCAAAAACTAAACCCTTGCCTTTCAAAGCGATAAAATGAACCATTATCCACTCAATTATTCGGATCTAAAAAAAGATGAATATTGTGACAAAGTAAAAGTGAATTCAAATATTATGAAAACTAAACATAGATTCTTCAATTTTTCATACAAAAGCAATAATTAATTTCAAATTGCAACTGTAATTTAATAACTTTAATTACTTTGATGAGTTTTATTGCATTAAGAAGTGCAAAGAGCACATAAATGATAATAAAATGATATAGATTTCCACCCTAAATTCCTCTAATTTCTATTTTAATCTTACGAATCGGAAAGAAACAAGTTTCGGGATTAATCTCGTTCAATTTAAGGTAAAAAATTTCAGTGCAAAGCTATTATTTTATAATATATTGTGAAAATAAAATATATTCATGTTGTTGAAATATTTTGAAAAAACTTTATCGTAGATTCCAACCGGAAAGTTCAAGATATGTTGGTAGAATTCCAGCCAGGTGGCATTTTCAATGAATATCTCTCAGATGATGGCCAGGTGATCAATTTTTTAAAGAAAAATATTTTTATTGATGAAATAAATTAGCAAATTTTTTAGGCGAACCAATAGTTTCAAACTTGCGAAAAAACTGTAGAAATTTGGAAAATATAAGAAATTGGTTAATATATTTTTGCTTAGTTAAGATTTTTTTTCCAGAAATGTTTATCACTTTTGGTTGGGCTCATTCCACTTGATCTGTCAGGCTAGGCAAATTTTTTAAAGAATCAGTCAGCAATAGAGATGAAGGTGAGTCGCCAGCAACGCCTGGATTTTTGAAGGATAGGTTTATTCCTATTCTGCATAGAATCTCAGCATCAAACTAGACAACAATCTATTGAGCCCTTTATCTCCTTCGTCATACTAACAGCCACTAGAGAGGCATGGTTTTTTTTAAAAGCAGATTTTCTTCTGTCAGGAGTGAGGCTTCAATTCCTCAAAAGCGACAATCCACTGGGCAGTCATAGCTCTAACTAGTAGCATTTTTAATATTACCATAAGCGCTTCGCAGGTTCGATTTCTTTTTCTCTATGAAATAAACCTTGTAATTAAAAGTGATATTTGACTGGTAATTTCTAACGAAAAAAGAATGAATTCAAATCTAGAGTTAATTATATCCGCTAGAGTTAAAATAATTTTCAAAAAGGAAAAATAGTTGGTAACTGTTGGATTTCTATCGTTTTTGCTTTATTTTATCCTACCACCCTATTTCTTAAAACACCGCATAAAATATGTTCTAGTATTAGTTTTTTAATGTTAAGTGATTCGCGATACTATAAATCATTGCAATTTTTTCGAAAGAAATTTTTAACATTCTGTGCAGGATATTTTTTTTAAAAAATTATTTTTTGCAATAATAAAATAGGAAAGAAATTATTGTGGCGAAGTTGAAAAGGTTCTTCCTCTTCTCTTCTGCTTATTTAATTCAATATTTCAGTCACTGAAATGATATTTCAGGCTATAAATTTTGATGGATTTAAACGTTTTTTAAGAATCTATTTTGAAGCCGAGCTCTCGCAGGACCTCATCCAACAACTTTTTCTATCTTTCCAGCTTCGAACTAATGACAAAGCTATCTCGAGTTAATTTAATATTCTTTTTTATTTTATTTTATTCATTCTATTATTTATTTTTATTTTACTATTTATTTTTTATTTATTTATTTTTTGCCATCTGTATCAAATAAATTAATAGCATATAAAGCAGTAGCTTTTTCTTAATCATTTATTTACAATATAGTATAGTATAGCATTATAGCCAAAACCAACATAGCATAACGTATAAGATTTAATCATAACTGACAGGTTGTAACCTTATACAAATAAGTATGCAAAAGCATACTGTGGATCGAAATGTGGTAGGAAGTATTCATATGGAACTTTGCTTCATATTATGAAAATAAAAAGGAAGTGGAAAAAAAAATTCGCTAGCAAGGGAACCGTTATTATTCTATGGGCCATTTATTTAACGATGAATATTTATGAGAATTTGCATGAAGAATTTAATTTTACATTTTTCCATGAATTGAAATAAGATAAGTAGAGGAAAAGTGGCATATGCACATATATGCATACAAGCTTTTTGCTAGTGATGAAATTAATGAATCCTACCACCCACATTTTTTTCTGGACAATTATTTCCAATGTTCTCCATGGAATTACATAACATTTATATCACAAGAATTTTATTTTTTAAGCGATAAATTGGCTTAAAACTTATTATAAATTATTAAATTTTTGGCAATAATACTTAAATGATTTATTGAATTTGTACACTTTGCATAAAATAGAGAAATCTCAGAGAATGATACTACCACGAAAAAATGTAATATTTATCAGATGTACCAGATGTGATAGCAATCCAAGAGAATTAAAAAGTCTAGGCGAAAAATTAGAATAATTAACAACTTCTCGGGAACATCTTGAATATGTTTCATCAAAAGTTAAATTAAATTAGATAAAGAAATTCTATTCCAGATTCCACATCAATGCCAAAAATAAAATCTACACTGCAGTCGGCTAATAGTGATAAAATATGTTATCAGTATCATAATAATACAACAAAATTTACATTATTGAAACCAATATTCTGTTATTTTTCGCTCCTTGAAGGTGCATCACCCGAAGAAAAGCTGGAATGTAAGATTTGGTTTTATCAACTTAAGATTTCAGTTATAGCAATTAAAAAATATGGCGATTTTCAATTTATAAATTATAATCCAAAAAGGCTCGATGATTTTGAGTTACTGTAAATTCTTTAAAAATTCTAATTTTTTTATTTTTTTTCTAATTCCAGTTGTATTCCACGTATACGATTCCGATGGAAATGGATTCCTCGACAGTAAAGTTAATTTTTTAAGATGAATTATTGTGAAAAATTATCTTGATGAAAGAATTTGAAAAAGAGTATTTTATGTTTCGATCCATTTTTGTAGGCTGAAAAATAAATTCAAATCAGTGAATAGAAATAACGGCAAAGTAATATTATTAAGGCAAAAAAAAACGGAGCATGAATCCTATTCTCCAGTCTTTAAATCGAAACAAAACATGAAACCAAATAATGAAAATAGATGGTGGAAGGAACCAGCATAAATTGGGTATTCATATGCATTTTGATACAATTTGCAGGAAATTGAATGTATTATCGAGCAAATGATGAATGTGGCGCGATACCAACAGTGGGACACTATTGAGCTGGAATCGGCAAGCAATTTTTTAAAAAAAACAAAAAGTTTTCTTCTTCTTGTGATAGATTCAGGATTTCTAGTTTGGTTAACTACATTAGCACTGGCTGTAAGGATGAAATTTCTTCCTCAAGTTTCATTTATAGATAAAAATATTGATAACAAATTGATAACGAACTGATAATAGATTTATTCTCAGCAAAGAAGAATCGAATTTATGATGGCTTGAATTTAGTTGAAGCAATATCACTCGACCATATTCCATCAAGATATGTTGAATCGCATCCGTCTTTTATTTGATGATCTTTTTTTTTCGATCATCTATTAATAAATATCACAGGAGTGCCGAGTGATAGTTGCTTATATTGCCATCTCAAACTTTAGATCCTTCAGGTAGAACCCACTAAAAATCCAGCTGATGATAAACCATCTGTCTTCAAGTGTCTCATTGGCGAAATTTCTAACCTTCCGATAGCCCATCTAACCAGAAATCCCTAATGATCGCTAATTCCTCACATAATAAGCACAAATTAGATATGAAAATAAATATTACATTCGGATGATTATTTGTGGATTTACGAACATCTTGTAAAAATATATAGTTCATCCTAAATTACTAAAATTCAATTGGAAATTAACTCAATAACTTATAGATTTTGCGACAAATGATGACTGAAATCGATTATGATTCAGATGGCATCGTATCGTTGGAAGAATGGAAGCGCGGTGGCCTTACAACCATACCATTATTAATTCTCCTTGGCATCGACACAGTAACTCATAATTCCATAAAAAAAGGGAACATAATTACTGAAAATTGAATAGAATAATTAATATGGATATGCTTTTTTCTTCCAGGAAATGAACGAAGATGGAATTCACATTTGGAAATTGAGACATTTCAGCAAGCCAACGCATTGTAACGTTTGTATGAATCTCCTCGTCGGTTGGGGTGGAAAACAAGGGCTTGCATGCGCATGTATATTTCTTTTTTTAATTATTATATTATATTATATATTATAATTATTATATTAATTATTTGCTCATTCATAAGTATTATCCTTTCTCATAAACTTTCTGATATGGAATTCTCATGTGATGAAAAAAATTTAAAGTACTTTAATTTTCGAATGTTGGGCAAACTATGCTAAAAAGCTAAATTGCAGTATGCAAATACACAGTGCATGAAAGATGTGTGCGCAGTGCTGCAAACAATTGTATTCGCACATATACAGCAAATCGTCAAGGTGAAGGTCAAATGCTGCACCACTGGATTGAATCAAATGGTGGCGGAAAATGTGCAAAATGTCATTGCATGGTGTCAACATTACAAGGAAAAAGATGTCGATGGTGTCACAATTTAGTTATCGTTTTATGATTTTTATATATATGATTTTTTATGTGGATTGGTTAAATCCTATTTTAATTACAATTATCTATTTCACCTTTATAATACTGTTTTTTACAAGCAGAGCTAACTCATATATAGTATTCCAGAAGTAACTAAAATTTAATAAAAATTTAATATCCTATAATTCAGCTTCACAAAAAATGTTTGCCTTCGTGGCCAATAATTTGTACTTTTGGAACACTTGCATATCATATATTACCACCTACCAATATATATCCTGCATTTCTGGATCGAAAACAAAGCAATAATAGCAATAGTAATAATGGACAGCTTCTGCAGGTTTGACGTTATCTCTTGGTTACAGAAAGCTAAAAAGATCCGTGAATCCGGCTTTTTGCCATTCAGTCAATGAATGCACAATTATTCCTGAAAAATAGTCTATTTTTCCTTATTCCATATTATTTTATTCTTTGCCATTTATAACACTGAAAAAGCCGAGTAAATTCGCTTTTTCCTTCATTTCTTCTCAAACTGATCAAAGTATTTCGGCATTTCACAAATTGCTTATACTTCCAGAAATTTGTTTTAGATGTTATATTTATTTCACCTTTATGATATTGTTTTCGTGTTTATGGGGGAATTTTAGGTCATGTTCATATTCTTATTTTAACAGTATTCACTATTTCTGGTTTGGTTAGTTTCATTTCTAGGAGGAGATTTTTTCAAGGCATGTGTTGAAATCGTATATGTGCAAATATATGGATACAAATCGGTCCCGAGTGAAATATGCTTATATTGATATTTATTTTTCCATTCCTTAAGAAAATAGAGTTAATCTTACTGGAAAGCAATCAGGTTTATATGTTTGCAAATAAATGATAGTAGAATCGTTATATTGCAACAAATTTTTTTTTATCATTTTCATATAATTTTCGATTGCTTAAAGGCAGTCCAACCAGTCGGCAACAGAAAGCCTTTGTTGGTATTAATTAATCCTAAAAGTGGTGGAAAACAAGGTGAAAAAATTTATCGGAAATTCCAATATTTACTCAATCCTCGTCAAGTTTATGATCTCACAAAAAATGGACCAGAGCCCGGGTAAATTATACCAGTTCGAGAATAGATTCACTTGCACATTTTTTCATTAAAGGATCATATAGATCTCTTATTGAAGCCTTTCATTTTCACAATTTCTGGTTAGGATTGCTTTATGGGCCAGATAAATTCTGCTTGGGGAGTCACTTGGCGATAGAAATATAGGTAAACCACCAACATCATCCGGGTTTTTAGAAAGGTTTATTTCTAGCAGAAATAGGATCTCACTCAGAAATGAGATGAAACAACCCATTGAGCTACTCTACTTTGAATTTTTTCTAATGTCAATTCTTTACGTTAACTAAATTAAATTAAATGGCATTGGCACGCACGTTTTAATTTTCTCACCTTAATTTTACTATTTTTGCATTTCCATAAGATATTTTAGACTTCGGTTATTTGCAACATTGGAGGACTACAATGTTTTGGTTTGCGGTGGAGATGGAACTGTCGGCTGGGTACTTTATGCTATGGGTAAGAGACTATAAAAAGATCAAAATGAAAGCAAGTGTTTCGAGATGTGCATTTGGATAATTTTGGCCGATGAAAAAATTAAAAGAAATTTCTATGATCTGAAATATTCTGAATTGCGATCATCTGAATCTACTATTTTAAATTTTATGAACTGTGAAGTTACAAAATGATTTATTAAGATAAAATGGATTATAAGCAGAATCGGCCAGCAGTTGCCCTTTTACCACTGGGCACTGGAAACGACTTGGCTCGTTGCTTGGGATGGGGCGGTGGGTATGAAAATGAAGCGCTTCATAAAATATTACAACGCATCCAAAAATCTAACCAAGTATCCTTTTTTCAAACTGAATGTACTGTAGTAATTGATAGGATGACATAAAAATGTTTGAAAACGAATATCTATACGGTTATTTAATATAAAATAATTTAAATTTAATAATTTATTAAACTGCTTAAAAATTAAATCATATGTATTATAACAAATGAATATAGGTTTTATTCAATCCGCCTGATATGAATAAACCACACTAAAAGTGAGAAGCGGCCATTTTTGGGGATTCTATATTTCCATGCAAATGATTGATGCAGAGAGACCTCATCCTTGATGAGGATTAGGAAAAGAAGTAGCTTCCAATAATCACCATTACAATTTTTTGAAGGATAGCAACGTCTGTCAAAGAGAATTGAAATAGGCAAAACATTATAAGTAAGCGGGTTCGTCATTTCTGTTTAGACTTGTGTCGCTATAGTCAAAAATTTTGGCCCACACGGCACAAAACATAAAAAACACATTCAAAAAGATTTAATTTAGATTTATATGGATCGGTGGCAAATAAATATTGAACAAATAATGCGAACATCACAAGGAGATTATCAGCCATATAAAATAATTAATAACTATTTTTCAATTGGTGTGGTAAGCGATTTTTAGTGGTAATATTTAGAAAAAAGGTAAAATAGTTAACGAAAAATGATCTTAATTTCCCTTCTAAATATTCTAATCGTTTATTTTAATCGTCATTTTAAACATTTATTTTCAGAAAATTTTAGCCCGTATATTAATAATTCGAAATTAGCTAGTCGATAATAAATAAATAATAATAATAATGTTGATGTTGATAACGTGATAATTTTCTAATTATTTCCCAGCAAAGTACCATTAATCATGATATGACTGTCATCTCATTGATTATACTATTATTGTTCAGGATGCTTCTATAGCGCATAGATTTCACATAATGCGCGAGAAATATCCAGAGAAGTTCAATAGTCGGATGCGAAATAAATTGTGGTACTTTGAATTGGGCACTAGTGAGACGTTGTCAAGTACTTGCAAAAATCTTCATGAATATATCGATATTCTTGTACATTTCTACTACATTTATATTTAAGGAAATAAAATAATCTAAAATTTTATTTAAAAATTAGAAAATTCTTTATTATCACCGGTATAATATCACCAGCATAATATTCTTGTTCAGGATGCTAACCAATTCCTAACTAAAGAAATAACGTAATTCACAGACATAGTTATTCAGTGTGATGGTGAATATATTGATCTCGGTGGGGGTCCAACTTTGGAAGGCATAGCGCTATTAAATATTGGATCGATGTATGGTGGAAGCAATTTATGGGGTACAAGCAAGAAACGATCTTCATCATGGCATCTACCTCTTATTTTTCCACAATTTACAACTAGTGCAATTCAACTGCAGCATAGAGTTCAGGTCATATTTGCAATTTTAAAATTTTTTTATTTAGATATTTTCGATAGTAGTGCTTCTATGTAGTGCTTTAGCAGTTTAGCATTAAAAAAATTTTGGTAATAAAAAGCTTTGATGAGTATTAATCATAGAGATCAAGTAAAAGATTTGAGGCTGAAAATGTACTACTTCATACTGCAATAAAATCAGCCTTTCAGCAGCAATATCCATAACTGTAGGAATATTTAGGACATTGGCGATCGTTTAATAGAAGTCGTCGGTTTGGAATCAGCCATGCAAGTGGGCAAAATTAAAGCTGGAGTTCGAGGCGCTGCTCGAAGATTATCGCAATGTTCAACTGTAGTTATACGGTGAGATTTGTAAAAATTTGTTATGCTGCATTAAATATTTTGACCGACAACAGAAGTAAAAGTGATTTTAAAATAAAGTCCCATTTTAGAACGCATAAGTCATTTCCGATGCAAATTGATGGTGAACCATGGATGCAACCACCTTGTATCATCCAAATAACGCATAAAAATCAAGTTCCAATGCTTGTTGGTAATTATTTTTGAGTGCTCAAAATATTGACGTTTATTCTAGTCATAGAAATAAAATAGCCTTTGATAATGAGGAAAGAATTAAAATGATTTTGCGATTAAATGAGCAAAAAGGAATTTCTCCGCCAATATAATGATAACAATATAATTGAAGGAGCTAAATTCTATTTCAGGAACGCACATGCGAAGAAGTTGGAACTTCCTCAAAAGAAGTTAGAAGTTAGTTGATAAATCAAACTAATAGTTGAGGAAAAAAGTTTCGCGAGAACGATTCATTCAAACGTATAAGGATTTTGTTTTCATATTATAATAAAATTAAAAATAAAGATCATTACTCAGAAGAGTTCTTAGAATTCCATAATAAACTATAAGCTATAACAATATTATTTCCAAAAATAAACCTAAAAAAGAACCATTATTATTCTCAAAATTTTAAGAAAATTTTAAAATTTTAACATTTCTGGTTTCCGATTGTTAGTGCAGTTAGAACCTACTGTCAAGGAGTCTCTTATCGAGAAAAACACCTGGATTGCCAATAATATATGGATTTCTAACGACAGGTCTGTCATCAAGCCATCAAGCCACTGATGCGCGACACATTAATTGGAACCACTACCCATCCGGCTATCGCATCCCTTACGGAAAACTAGAAAGCAGAAGAAAATGTGCTGTATTCATACTCGCAATCAAAAAAAAGGAAACTATCTGTTAAAATCGATAAAAATTTGGAAAAATAAAATAAAAATTTAATAGAATTTACAAAAATAAAATAACAAAAGAGAGAACAATAAAAATTGAAACTATATTAGTCAAAATGGCTGTATTAATAGTACCACGGAAAAAATGGAAAATATCCGATTCCTTCCTGAAATTAGCTATTTGACAGCCTTTTTTAAATTGTTTAGTAGTATTTTCTTCTGCTATTTCGATTTTAAGAAAAATTCATTGTTTAGTCTCATTATTAGCGAGAATAATTACCATAATGTTCAGTTTAGGATAACGAAAAAAAATTTTTTGGTTGAATTTTTAAATAGATATTTTTACCTTAGAATTAAAAATAAAAAAATTTAATAATTTTGAAAAATAATCAAAAATTTTTTTAAATTTTTTAATTTTTTGAAGGCTATTGAAATAGAGGTGCTAGCAACTTTAGCTGATAACAATGATCGTGCTAGTCGTATTAAATGCATTGTTAAATGTAATGATGCTTTTGCCAATTAACTAAAAGCAATTAAGCATTTAAACCATTCTGCTGTCTCTTAATTGGAAAATCGAATCACTTGCATATTACTAGCGGTAACATATTTTTTTAAACAATGTTTGAAAGAGGAAAACCCCTATTTCTCAATACGATAATCGGGTTACTATTCATTGCATCTTACTGCAGTCTTTGATCAGGAAAAAGCTAGGAAAATTAAATTTCAGTATAGTGATTTTCATAAGCATTAATTTTCATGCTGCTTTTATTTTTTATTACTTTAAATTTTCCACCTTTACTTTTTTTTTCAATTTTTATAAGACACTTAATTTCATGATTTTTTAGTCTCATTATAATTGCCAGGCTGCACGGAGAAAGAGCAGCAATGATAAAATAATGAAAAAGCTTAAAAATATAGCGCTTGCTTTGTGAGTTTATTTTCCATTAAAAAAGTATACTTATAGTTTTCTCAAACTCGAGTTAAACCTCTTCTATTTGAAACAACAATAAAATCGCAACAAAATGCGCCACTGTCTATCAAACAAAACAAAAAAATTATCGCAAATAAAAAAAAAATAATCAAAAAAAAATCGAAATTGAAAGGATGAAATAAAGAAAACAGCAATCTTTGGATGGTGCTGATCGTCACTACTTCGTCGACTGAAATTGTTGATCTTATAGAGCCATCTTATTTGAGGCCATTTATGTAATCACTGCTTCATTGGATTATTGGACCTTCCATTTCTCGCCTTGATTCGTGTTCTGCTCATTTTTAGGCAAAAATTTGTAATATATGTAATATAACATTTTGTTGTCCAGGACGGCAAAATTCAGTGCGCCGGCTTTCATAATGCTGAAACCAAATCAGCTATCAATTTATTCCCTCAGTTACTTTAACTAAATTAAAATATATGATAATGATAATAGATGTAAAAAAACCAAAGTACATTCGAACCTTCGAAAGCTAAATTTTGGTAATTATAAATCATTCAAATAAAATCTGAACACAACTCACCTAACAAATAAAAACTATAATGCTTCAACAGTGGTGTGCATCCAATGTATGAATTTTGACTTGACGAAGTTTAAATTATTTGCACGTTAATACGATTTACACTGTTCGAACAAACATTTTAAATGCTGATAACAATTGTTATGATAAAAAAAGTCAGAACAAAAAGAATATTTATTATCTCAAAAATTCACCAAGGATGAGAATTGATATTTAGAATAAAATCAATGATTTTATTCAGAAATTTCACAAAAACATTCAAAAATAGAGATGTGAATACAGATATATTATTATATTATTTATTTATACATTGTATATATTTTTTATACAACGATGAATTAAATGTATGAAAAACCACTTAGATAGATTTTAAAAGGCAGGAATTTTGATAATTTAGTGCTGTAAGGATATTGTTAAATATAACGATACTTAAAAACTGATAAAAGAAAACATAGGATTATTCAAATTTGGTTCAACCAGAGATTCAAGAGATCATTACCAATGAAAAAGGTAAAGACAAAGGCAATTAAGTATTTTATTAGGAAAAAAACAATAAAAATCATAATATACCATCGATTTCATCCATTTTCATTATTTTATAGGTTTAAAAATAATCACAGGCTAAATAACGATATTTATGCTCTAAGGTGAAAATAAAAGGCACAAAAAATGGCGAAAAAATTACTGAATCTGAAATTATTGAAGCAATTACTTCAATATAATTGTATGGTTTATCTGCATTATACGATGTGTAATACAGGAAATTTCAATCCATCCTAATTATTAGCCATTGAAATTGCTGAAAATCTGGAATGGAACCATTTTCATGGTAAAAAGTGCACAAAAAATGGAGAAATTATATGAGCAATAAGTAATAAAAAACTATCGAATATTTTTTTATAACTTTGAAGAAAGGTAAATGTGATATTTTTAGCGAAATTATATTTGTTTGCATGTGATTAGTGGGTGAATGATGGTTGAGAAACCTTCGAACCAATCTTTTATGGCACATTGGAGTTGAAAAAAATACTTCTTGGATGAATAATCCCAGAAAATTATAATCCTGGTTGTGACAGAAAAGTGATTTAATCGAAGCTTTACCAAAGCTTTCCAGTTTGAGAAATTCCTTCTCATTTTGAATAAGAAGATCACATAGGCCGATCCATTTTCATGAAATATATTAACCAATAGCTAAAATTTAATTTTAAATTAAATTTAATTTAAAAATTCTCAATTAAATTTGAAAAAAAATGTTAGGAATTGCGAACAATATTTTTTTATTTGCTCCCTTTCCTTTTTATTAGTAACTTATTAATTAATTACAAAAGTAAATCACTGCTTCAACAATATAAATAGGATTAATATAATTATCAGCGACAGGTGAAATTTTTAAGATGATTCGATGGAAAGCCTTTAAGCAATTCTAGCAGGAATAATTATGATAAATCAGTTAATTTTTTTTGCATCATTCGTATTTATATAATAATACAGCTTCTTCTTCTAATAGCACTCGCCATTTCTTTATCTAACTTAGATGAATTTCTTTCGCCACAGAAAGAAGTATAAGTGAATTTGTTCCGCCATGTAGAGAAGTACCCTAGCACTATACAACAATATATACCATTTAGTGAAATTATAGAACACTATTCTACTCTAACAGGAGAAAGTTCCACTTACGTTATATTGAAAACAAGAAATGATAAAGGAAACATTATCATTGAGCAGCGATCAATCTAAAAAATATTTAAACACAAAAACTTTATTTTATAGAATTGTTAAATATATATTATTCTTAATTTTTCTTTCATAGGCCGCTAAAATGAAACAATGAAAATGAAACAAATTAATGATAATGCAACTCTCTAAAATCTTTAATTATTTTCCACGGATATCCTTTCCATAAAAAATTTGCCTTTTCAAATGTCCTTCACATTTTCTGTAGTCATTTATTGAATTCACTTTAATTAATGAATTACTTCTTCAGAACTCTATTTAAATTTGATATTAGCGAAATAATTAATTCATTAAATAAATTAAAAGAAATATAACAAATTCAGTTCGAAAAACTAAAAAAGAAAACACACTAAAAAAATAAAAATAATTGTTGCATTCTGAATAAATTTAGGATGCTCTATAGAAATATAAAATAAAACGTTTTGCAATTTAATTCAAAGTGCCAAGTAAAATAATAATTCGAATGGTAAATTTGATGAAATGGACAGATATATTTCTTTTCAGTTCACTTCTTTTCTTTTCAAAATACTCTTTATTTTTTATTTTTATTGGTTATTTTTTCTTCATCTTTTAATAAGTTCACCTCTATTGTTCGGGTTTTACTCCACTCATTGCGAAAATGAGGCATTTTCAAACCTCTCGATCCGATATGTAAATTAAAAACACATCCTTTTTACATCTAAATTTTGTGTTAGCTATACTATAAAAATTTCTGACTGTACCTAGCTTGTACGTAGCTTCATATTCTAAGCTCATTAGGCTTTGATATCGTTTGGCAAATATAGAATATGGCTTACAAATGGCTTAATTATGCCATGGCAATATTTAATATAGATCCCCTCAGCTAAGTATGCTTTAGGCAGGAATATGAACATCTTATAGATAAATTTTTGATATTCTTCAACTTTCATTGATGTTGTAAGTAGCGAAACAATCGTTTTAATGATTGCCACGATTCCACAAAAAGCCTAAGTAATAATGGTAAGGACTGTCAGTATAAGAAAAATACAATATTAAAGATATCTAAACTC